TCTGAAACAACCTCTGGGCTGATCTAAGTCGGGGCATGGCTAACTCACAGATTGAAGTCTGAAACAACCTCTGGGCTGATCTAAGTCGGGGCATGGCTAACTCACAGATTGAAGTCTGAAACAACCTCTGGGCTGATCTAAGTCAGGGCATGGCTAACTCACAGATTGAACCCTGTAACAACCTCTGGGCTGATCTAAGTCAGGGCATGGCTAACTCACAGCCATATCATCGATATGACTCATTTACCCAGGATTAGCCTCGTATCAGTGTCTAAACATTTAAAAATGTTTACAATAATAGTTTTTAAAATTCTTTCATATTAAAACTTTTGATTCCTTAGAGAATACAGGAACAATAGTCATAATTAGAGAACGAAAGCAGTGTGAAAAGGATTATGGTCTAGAGATGGGGGTAAAACGTCATCTCGCTTCAGGCTTATTATCTCTTCTTTCCATCAGATGGAAAATAATTCCCACACAAAGGCTGAACATCCCAAGTGTGGCCGATGCAATACAAATGTCTACCAAGCTGAGTCCATCAGTATGGCTGGCAAAGAGTGGCACAGACGGTGCTTCTCGTGTGCTGATGCAAAATGCCGTAAGAAACTCGAGAGTACGACTTGCTGTGACGCCCAGGGTATGAATATTAATTTATTAAGAGAGAATTCTTTTCGTATTCAAGCAGTGAGCGCCAAAAACTATTTTCTTGAAGAACGGCTGTTGTACAAGGCTAAAATCTTGTTATTCAGAAAGTTTAACTTGTTTGGAAGTGGAGATGAGCGATGAAAGTGGAATCAAAGTGTTAACCCAAAGCAAAAATTTTATTCGAAAATGAGGTCTAGGCCTTCATTTGCTTATTTCCCATATATTTTCTATAAAAAAGCCTGACAAAGCAACATTCTAACACAAATGCAACAAAACATCTTTGTACAATTGAAAATACTGCTTCAAACAGGTATTTTATCATAATACATTAGTTTCTAACTGTTTAAAAAAGGTTTTGAGTGTTAACCCAAAACGAAAATTGGGATCAAAACTCATGCGAAAGTCTAGTTTTTGGCGCTTTTTGCCATTATTGCTCATTATTGAAAAACATTACCTCTTAATTTTTTTAACACCTTGGACAATTGTTCACGTCTCTATCATTGCAAGCTCACCGTTCGTGTCGCTTCGATGCAAAGGCAAGGCCACCTTTCAAGATGACGCCGGGAACTGTGAAGGGGACTATTGTGTTGTTTATAAATATTATTATTATTATTAATAATATTATTATTATTATCTTTTATATATTTTATTTCTTCATTATGATTCAGACGAGATCTGGTGCAAATCATGCTACGCCAAGCGATTTGGTCCCAAAGGGTACGGATACGGACTAGGTGCTGGAGCACTAAGATTAACCAAGGGACATTCAGGGGAAATCAACCAAGCACCCAAGATATTTCTCCCCACGGAAAAAGGAGACTTTAAGGAAGGAAGCTGCCACAAGTGTGGTCACCCTGTGTTTGAGGCAGAAAAGATGAATTGCAGTAGTCAGGTGAGGTTACAATACTCTAGTTAAGGCCTAGGGCAAACGTCAAACTTTCCATGCACCGAACTTAATTACATCAAAGAATGCCGCCTCATTATCACCTGATATCCATTGTTTTTAATGAGTTCGGTGCATGGAAAGTTCCACGTTTGCCCAGTTCTCTGTTGCTCAGTATATAAATTTTGATATTCAGACACTGATACGAGGCTAAGCCTGGGAAAACGAGTCTGTAATTAAGGAACACAGCGGTAATTCGAATAATTCCATTTTCGTAACCAGACCCTTCTCACCAAAAAATCGATTTTTTGATTTTTCGTTAGAAAGCTGAGAAGGCTTTGGGTACGAGAATGGACTAATTCGAAAATGATATTAGACCCCTCACATTACGGATAAAACGCGTAGATTTGGTAAAAACATGACGTTTCGGCTATAACTAGTGATGCTTTTATCAGAATAGGCCATTTCACGGATCCCGTTGCTCAACCTCAGCCTCGTCAGCGTGTAATATATTCTTTAGAAATTGCCTACAACCTGTGAAATTTTTAAGTGTTTCAATTGTTCGTTGATGTGTAAATTCCTTTCATTACTGCAGACTGTAGTCAAATTCTAAAGAATAATTACACGCTGACGAGGCTGAGGTTGAGTAACGGAATCCGCGAAATGGCCTATTCGAAAATGGTCTATCGTCCAGGCTACTCTGTCATCTCTCCCAAATCCAAAATAGCAGACACTCCAAAGCTGACATCGTCTGAGATTCGAATCACAAGCGTGACGTCATGCCGAGAATCGAAGAGAGTAGCCTGGGGACGAGGCTAGTAGTATCGTATGGCCTTGGGACACTTGTGCTTATATTGATATTATGTACGTGGGATAACTGTGCTTTTTTCTCTCTCCAGGTTTATCACAAGCAGTGTTTTTCGTGTTTTGAGTGTGGCATTCAGCTCGAATCAACGACGGTCAATGACCATGAGTATGGGATTTATTGTGGAGGTAAGGCGATGGAAGGGATTGCACTTAAGCCGCGTAACCGCCACCCGCTTAGCTCAGTTGGTAAGAGCGTCGATCTGTTGTGCGGGAGGTCGTGGTTCAAGTCCCGGCCGGACCAACACTCAGGGTCTTGAAATAACCGAGGAGAAGGTGCTGCCTTTGTAATTACATCTGCAAATGGTTAGACCTTCAAGTCTTCTCGGACAAGGACTTTACATCGTAGGCCCCGTCTGTCTTCACTATATAACCCTGTATAAGGCGGACGTAAAACATCCACTGAAGACGCTGGTGACGACCATCTTCAGTGCCCGTGCTAACTGGTTGCCTTATCAATTGGGTCGCAAGGCCTGTTAGGCATCAAGCCGTCCACGCAGCAGTGGTAAACGCCTTAGATTAGATTAGATTAGAATTGTATTATTTAGAGTACACTCCCTCCAATAAAAATGTACCTTCTAGGATGACAGTTGCTCATGGCAACAGACTTGCTGGGTATATGAAGTCTGTTCTAAGGGCGCTTTCCATTACTGCTGAATTTTCATAAACATGCGAACTCTGTGTCTGCTAGCTACACGCTGAAATTTGGTTTTTCGCTGCCGTCAATCAAACCTAATCGGGCAGTACCTTTAATATTTTTTACTAGTTTACTGATTTATCTTTTATATCAACAGCGTGCTACGCCAAGAAATTTGGCGCCAAAGGTTATGGATATGGTCTGGGAGCTGGAGCTTTAAAATTCACTGGAAAATAGAGATTCTGTTGCTTCTTAAAAATGGATAAATTGTGCAGTTGTGCAGTTTTAAAGGTCAACTAAATAAACGATCAAAAAAGAAAACTGAAGACTTACGAATCAATAAACAAAACTTCATAATCAATTGATACGTTTGCCACTATTCCTCATTAGTATTTTTCTCTTTCTCTTCTTCTYCTTAACTATTTACACCTACTTGCATGAACGTTGTGATAAGAAAATAGAACATTAGTAATTTTGTGAGAAAGGAATACATTAAAAGACAAAAGAAAAAGTTCAGCTTCAGTGATCTTCTTTTGTTTTTTAATATAATTCCTATCCCACTAAATCACTAATGTTCTATTTTCGTATGACAACGTTCTTGCAAGTAGGTGTATTTTTCATATCTGGAATCAAAACTGTATTTTTGAAAACTTTAAACTTACTTTCATAATTGCTCCTGCCTCGAATAGTTCTTATAGCTTGTTGCGGGTAGCAATTATATCGTAAACTTTATCATTCAAGAAAATATAAAAAGTGTTGTTGTTGCTGTAAAACGACGTGAAAAAATTGAGTGTTTTTCAATCTTTATTTTCAAACTGCGATACGGTTTACTTCATCTATTTTACTGTTAAACGTCTTTAAAATGTCCTACTGGCAGAAAACAAATTTCGCTACATCTTCTAGAGTTGCCAGGACGTTTCTTACTACACGCTAAGAGGAAAATGTTTAGAGGTGTTCTCGACAATTATTTTAGGGGCTTTGCGTCATCATGAGATGGCAGCCGTCACAGGAGGCGGTAACAAACAATAGTCCCTTTCACAACAGTTCCCGGCGCCATCTTGAAAGGTAGTCGTGCCTTTGCATCGAAGCTAGACGAACGGTGAGCTTGCAATGATAGAGACCTTTTTTAACACCTTAGACAATTATTCACATGTCTCTATCATTGCAAGCTCACCGTTCGTCTAGCTTCGATGCAAAGGCACGACTACCTTTCAAGATGTCAACGGGATTTTCTGATTGTGATTTACTGGACTATTAAATCTGGTCTAATCTGGCTTATACGAGGAAGCATTCAGTTTCCCAAAAGAGGAAGGCTTTGTTGTTGCGCCTCCTGTCATGGCTGCCATTACTTGATGTGACAAAGCCTCATTTTGACAATTTACAGTACCATACATGAAAAAATTCTTCAAACATGCTTCAGTGGTGCTGTTTGCTCCATTTTTTCGTCAAACTTCCAAAGTCCATCCTTTTGGTGCTTCCATTCGTCCGTACTACGAGAGCAATGATATGTATTATTGGTTATGGGAAGTGGTTGGAGAAAAGGATGGGAAGGGAAAATGGGAGAGAATGAAAGGGTAATTTTCAGAGAGGAAAAGAAAAGAGAAAAAGGGAAGAGGACMGAAGGGAAAAGAAGAGAAGAAAAAAGAAAAGAAATTTTTTATTTGAGCTTATTTTCTCTTTTATGAATTTAATCGAGGTACATTTTGGAAAATCCTGGTTATGAAAAAGCTGCTTCAATAATTATTTTAGTATTTTTAACACAATGATATTAAAAGATAACGGATAAAGAGTTTTTCGCTGTTCAACTTCTATTTATCTCTGCAAGCAGCACAAATCGACAAATGAGCGTGCGCATGCGCGGGTTATATTCACCTGCGCACCGGATTTATTATATTCACTTGTGTAAAACTAAAGATGATTATTACCAGGTGGTCGCGTGCACGCACTTCCGGTTACTATTAACCAATCACAAGCAATTTTGTTGCATCACCAAACGTTCCATGTTGGCTTCAAAATGAAGTCGTATTTCGAGTTCACCTTTTTAAAATACGTTCTGAAATATGACTTTACTTTTAAAAATTCTATGTTACATGTACCAGAAAAGCTCCCTCTTGCTCTATCCGCAGTTAAGATTAATAAAAGCAAAACATAAATGCAATAAAAGTAAGCAAAATGGGTGTTGTCTTAATTAGTCACCAGCCGCCATTTTGATTACCGTGAGATATTTTGAAATAGGAGACTGGGTATTAGGAACTGTTTGATTTGAACGATTTTCCTTTGGTATCACTTGGTACTATTAGAAAGGAAGAAAGGAAGGTTTTCATACCTGTATTCCCGTCAGTTCATTATAAAATCTCTGGGTTACTTTCAGGTTGTCCATCGTAGGGATCATTATATTCTGAAGCATAAAATAACTATTATTCTCTGCATCTAGAAAACAAATACTTACAAACCAAAATGATTTTACCATATGTACAATAAAAAATTATACCCCTCATTCCAGACCATGTATCATTCCCTAGAGTATC